GTAGCTACGTACATCTGGGACACCTAATCCCCCTTGGCCTTAAATTAAAGGGCATGTGCAACAACCACTTTTTGCCTTCTCCCCAGCCCAACACTTCAGCCAAAGAGTCCTCTGAATGTTTACTTACAGGAGATACAGGAAATGAGATCAGTTTGGGGGGGGGAGACTGGATCTCTTCTCATTACCTTAGTCCAGACCTCCAAGGATTGACAGATTAGTATCATAACCAAGGCAGGTTGTAATGCAGGGCCTGCCACAGGAAACAAGGTTTTGGATTGAAGCTCCAAATGCTTATTGTTGGGTTCTTTAAAAACAGAAGCATCCTCCATCGAGGATTGTTAGAGCTTTGTAAGACAGCGTAATACTGGAACCACAGGGTGTAGGGATGATTGATGTGTCACTTGTGATCAGGAACAATGGTGGGAAGATGCATCCTCAATACCGAGTGCACACACAAGACTCCACCTCAAAGATGATCTCAGCACTCAGGTCCTCAGTGTCAATCCTTTCCATGGTGAATTGACTGTAAAATTAGGGATAATGGCGCCTAACAGTCCTAATGTGAGGTACCTCCTGGTGTTGAGTCCACACGGCCTACTCATAAAGTGAGTCTTCTGAGACAGGATCACAGTACTTGGAAAACAATCTGTGGTCAGCACAGTTCAGCACCACAATACGGAGCCCGGGGCCTGAAGGTCACATTCCAGGCTAGCCCATCGGGCCTCCAAAGCTAATCCTGAGTATACGTCAATAGCTGTGTATAGAGACCAGCACAGCAGCAAGCAGGATAAACCTGAGTGAGGAAAACATCATCTTGATTGAAGAAAAAGCACAAAGGTTCTCTGCAGAGGAACGGGATCCATTGTCCTAGGACACTAGACAAAATGAGGCATGCTGGGAGTGGGAGGGGTTACACCGGGCTGGTCGCTGGTTTTTGGTTAGCCAGTGTCCATCTTCTCCTGTAGGCAGCAGTAAAACCCAACAGTCTCTGAATTCCTGTGTCCCTCCAAGAAACACAATTCCTTTACATACCACCAAGCAGGTCTCTATGGTGCTTTCCTCCTTCTGAATAAAAGTTATCCATAACCTGCACAACAGCCACCGGACTGTCACCTTCCTTTCATCACACAGAGGTGATTGGTGTAGACAGGACATCGCACACAATGCTCATCCTTCACCCAGGAAAACTGGTCACCTTCCGATACTGAAGCCACATGCAGACATCGTTCCTTCTCTCCTGATTACATTGTGATGGAAGTCTGTGTGATTGTATATCCACCCTTCTGTTCAGCATACATGTCAGTCATATACACGTTATATGTGATTTCTGTAGTCCCCTCCTCCTCCCCTGTGCAGTCAGACTAGAAAAACGAAACTCAGCGAGTATAAAGTACGACAGAAACCAGGAAATACTTCACTTTCATCACAACACCATAGAGATGGGAGCGGCTCTACACCGCGTAAGTGTCCACTATACAAATAATACTGTGTCAGGAGGGAGGTGGGATGGAGGAATGCTCTGCAGATTATATCATTACAGATCTGTCAGGGGGGAGATGGGACGGAGGAATGCTCTGCAGATCTCTAGAGGGGTCAGTGATGGAATAATCCGCACAATATATCAATATGGATCTGTCAGGGGGGAGATGGGACGGAGCAATGTTCTGCAGATTACATAATTATGGATCTGTCAGGGGGGAGATGGGACGGAGCAATGTTCTGCAGATTACATAATTATGGATCTGTCAGGGGGGAGATGGGGCAGAGCAATGTTCTGCAGATTACATAATTATGGATCTGTCAGGGGGGGGAATGGGACAGAGCAATGTTCTGCAGATGATATCATTATGGATCTGTCAGGGGGGATGGGATGAACCAATGCTCTGTAGATTATATTACAGATCTGTAAGTGGGGAGATGGGATGAAGCAATGCTCTGTAGATTATATTACAGATCTGTCAGGGGGAGATGGGATGAAGCAATGCTCTGCAGATTATATTACAGATCTGTCAGGGGGGAGATGGGATGAAGCAATGCTCTGCAGATTATATTACAGATCTGTCAGGGGGGAGATGGGATGAAGCAATGCTCTGCAGATTATATTACAGATCTGTCAGGGGGGAGATGGGATGAAGCAATGCTCTGCAGATTATATTACAGATCTGTCAGGGGGGAGATGGGATGGAGCAATGCTCTGCAGATTATATTACAGATCTGTCAGGGGGGAGATGGGATGGAGCAATGCTCTGCAGATTATATTACAGATCTGTCAGCGGGGATGGAGCAATGCTCTGAAGATTATATTACAATCTGTCAGAGGGAGATGGGATGAAGCAATGCTCTGCAGATTATATTACAGATCTGTCAGGGGGGAGATGGGATGGAGCAATGCTCTGCAGATTATATTACAGATCTGTCAGGGGGGAGATGGGATGGAGCAATGCTCTGCAGATTATATTACAGATCTGTCAGCGGGGATGGAGCAATGCTCTGAAGATTATATTACAATCTGTCAGAGGGAGATGGGATGAAGCAATGCTCTGCAGATGATATCATTACAGATCTGTCAGCGGGGTTGGAGCAATGCTCTGCAGATGACATCAGTGTATACATAGTAAACCTTCTGGTGGGCACAGTTATCAGATTGGTGTAGACACGTTTGCTGATTCATATTGCACTGTAATTGGAGCCACATTAGGAGGCTGGAAGCTGTGTTTGTATAGGTCAGAATGGGTCACCTGATCTCCGGTGGGTAGGGTGCAGCCATTCACTCATTCCTGCAGAAATCTCCTCGCCTGGGGAAGCATTGGATGAAATCACATTCTATTCATATTAATTCCAGTTCTATATTCTACCACCCGAGCCCATGTGTACAGTCCCTCGTGTAGTCCTTCAGAATCCAGGACAAGCCGGCAGGGGGTTCTCCGAGCAGACTACAGACACCCCCCTATCATATGACCAGAGACAGGGGGAAGGGAGGTATGAACTCCCAACCAGCACCATTCTAGGAAGAAAGGAAGTGCGTGCCCCTCCCCCTGCAGACCTCCTCTCGGGGTGGTGATTGTGTCAGTACAATATTGATTATATTGGTATTGGAGGTGATTGGGGTAAGTTCGGTTTGATTCCATGTCTGGGGGTTTGCTGATGGTTTTCTATTTTGTCTCATAGTGTTAGTGTGTGGAGAGGAGTTGTTGGGTGTTGGTGGGGAGGTGTCTGGACCTAACCCTAACCCGCAGATGAATAATACACTGAGGGCTTGTTCACACCAAATGCTGACCAGATCTGCATGAGTATATCTGCACACGCAGTGCAGTGTGTTTTGCCGCGTACAGGGCAGTTTTGGCACTGGGCTTTCAGTGCGTTTTTTATGCGTTTCAGAGCAGGTAAAATAAGGCTTGCTGCAGTTTTTTCACATGCTCTGGAACTGAATGCTGCAATGTGAACTGGAGCTCACAATCCCATTGGAATACATTGGACGCAGTTTTGAACCGGTCTGTAACTGCTCTGCTCCTGCAAAGCGCTTGGTGTGAACTAGCCCTGAGGGCCTGTTCACACCATATGCAGTGCGTTCTGGCCACGTTCTAGCCGGAACGCACTGCTCAGTATTTCGTGGGGCGGAGGGGGTGTGGCAGAAATTGAAGTGAATGGCACCGTAGCTACGCCCTCCGGCAGCAATGCGAATCGCCCGCACGGGATCGCAAGGCACATTGTGTCTGCGGTCCGATCAAAATGCTGCAAGCACTATTTTGACCGGGCCACAGACACAATGTGCCTTGAGACCCCATGTGGGCAATGACATTGCGGCCAGAGGGCGTGGCTACGGCACCATTCACTTCAATGCCCACCACACCCCCTCCTGCCTGGCAAAAAAAAGTGTGAACAGGCCCTAAGAGATTAGGGTTAGTTCTGCTCAGACAAACCAGACATGACCATGTGACATATGTACATTCCAGTCTTTGTATTATCTGGTGGTCAGGAGGCAATGTTCATACTGCTGCCATATAATGATCGGTCCCTAGTTCAGGTCTCCTTACCTGCAGTGCTCACCAGTACCACCATGCAGCCACTTCCTCCAGTCCCATCATACCCTGCAGATTCAAGAACAAGAACATGGCTGATGAAGATACACCAGAAATGGAGCATTATAACAATCCTACCACCATCTGCCATTGTTGGCTTAGCTCAGAATGTGATATACAATCTCAGGTTTAGTTTATGAATTTGATCTTGTAGTCCATCTCTTGGAGTGGTGACTACATCACACACAGGTACCATGGGGGAACAGACATAGCCCCCCTCCAGAAGGAAGGACAGTGTCAGAGATGATTGGCGGATCTACAGCAGAGTGATACACAAATAAGAGATATTGTTGGTCAGAGTTCAGGGACTGGGATGTATGTTATAGATGTAACTCCTGAGTGTAGTGTCACTTTAAATGTATCTGCATTAAGAATGGTGTCTCTTCCAGCTGATGATCCTTCCATTGATGGGCAATGATGGGCTCCTCAGTTCTATGTTCTGGAACATCTGCTGCCTCTGCATCCTGTGACTTATGTCTTTGCAGGTGAGAAGGAAGCAGAGAGATACAAGGGGATGCCACTACTGATCTGTCTGGAAATGCCAATTGCCTGACTGCCCTTTGCTTCTACATTCTTAGCTATGAATTAAATCCAGACTGAAGCCACATAGTTGCCCTGAGGTCAGTGACTGAGAGAAAGGCAGCCAGGCTACTGGTATTTGAAGACGTGTCAGCATTCCGGAGAGTTAAACCTTGCGATAGCTTCTTGTATGAGTAAGAACTCTGTGCTGAGCTCCTGGGTCTGCACATCCAAGTCATAGAAGGAGACCGGCTCCATGTATAACTAGAGTATCACATTTCCGGGGACTAACCCATTGAACGTTACAATGATTTTGTTATAACATATATATATTAATGTCACGTGTTTTCCTGGTTAATGTTACAGGTTACATAGAGGTAACGGCGGTTCCCAAGGCTAAAAATGGGTAAGTGACAGATAATCTTCTCCGATTCTTATAAAGCACCCAATGTAGATGTCTTGTCTAGCTTAAAGGGGGACCCCATACTCAGCCAAAGAAAAGCATCATGCATGTGCCGTATCACTAACAGACAGTAGTAACAATCTGTTGTGTCACAGCTGCTCAGGAGACATGAAGGAAGTAATGCGTTTTACTCCCAGTATCTCGGATTAGGTCCTTCGGATTCTCTCCATATGCACAGCACAATGCTGTAATTTTGTATAACTCGGAGTATGTGGCAGCAACAGGCACAGAAGGACCCTGTAAAAGATGATGTTGAACACACACCGGTACAGCTGTTGATCCTCTTATACGGAGCATTCAGACCCCTCACATTGGGTTGCAGCATGATACTCCACTTTTCTTGTCTCTCATGAATATACACTCCTTACCCCATAGTGACAAAGTGATAACACAATTGTAGAAATGTCTGTGAATGTATTGTGAGATCTCACATGTACATAAGTATTCATACCCTGTACTCAGTACTTTGTTGAAGCTCCTTTGGCAGACGTTACAGCCTCCGGTATTTTTGGGTATGACACGAGTAGCTTTGCTCACCTGGATTGGGGGGATTTTCTGCCATTCTTCCTTGCTCAGTCAGGTTGGATGGGGACTGTCGGTGGACAGCTATTTTCAGGTCTCTCCAGAGATGTTCTGGCTGGGCCACTCTAGGACATTTACAGTATTGTCCCTCAGCCAGTCCTGTGTTGTCCTGGCTGTGTGCTTAGGATGGTTGTCATGTTGGAAGGAGAACCTTCGGCCCAGTCTGAGGTCCTGAGCGCTGTAGAACAAGTTTCCTGTGAGGCTTTCTCTGCACGTTGCTCCATTCAGCTTTCCCTCAGCCCTGACCAGTCTCCCAGTCCCTGTTGCTGAAAACCCCCCGCACAGCATGACGCTGCCACCACCATGCTGTGCTGTTGGGATGGTATTGGGCAGGTGATGAGCAGTGCTTGTTTTTCTCCAGACATAATGCTTAGAATTGAAGCCAAACAGTTCAATCTTGGTTTCATCAGACCAGAGAATCTTGTTCCTCACAGTCTGAGAGCCCTTCAAATGCCAAAGCGGGCTTTCAGGTGTTTTTGAGAGGCTTCTGTCTAGCCACTCTGCCATAAAAGCCAGATCAGTGGAGGGCTGCAGTGATGGTTGTCCTTCCGGAAATTTGGCTCATCTCCACACAGAATCTCTGGTGCTTAGTCGGAGTCACCATCGGGTTCTTGGTCTCCTCGCTTACCAAGGCCCTTCGCTCCCGGGTGACCAGCTCTTGGAAGAGTACTGGTTGTGAGAATTATGAAGGCCACTGTGCTCTTGGGAACCTTCAGTGCAGCAGACATTTTTTTTTTGTAGCCATCTCTGAGCTCTGCGGGCAGTTCCTTTGACCTCATGGCTTTTGCTCTGATACAGTATGCATCGTCAGCTGTGAGGCCTTCTATAAAGAGGTGTGCGCCTTTCCCAATCAACGTCATGTACCTCAGGTGGACTCCAATCAAGGAAAATCTTAGCAACCATCAAGAGAAAAGGGAGGCACCTGAGCTCAATTTCAAGTGTTGTTGCAAAGGGTGTGAAAACTTTTGATAAAGTGATATTTTAGTTTTTTTAATTTTTATTAAATTCACAGACATTTCTAACATTGTCACTTTGTCATTATGGGGGGGCTGAGTGTAGATTAATGAGAAACAACTGTAGTCTCAGGCTGAAACATAACAAAGCTGAAATAAAGTGAAGGGTGTCGGAGTGCACTGTAGTTTTTGCTTGCTGTGCTCCCTTCCATTGATCACTACGGGACACGGCTATGAAAGCACAGCCGCTGGGTGATTGTGTCTCCACACAGTGAATACGTAGAACGACGGTGATTTCTCTGCATCCGATTTTCTGTGAGCTGTGCCATTTGACAGGAAGAACATGGATTCATCTCATCCTGTAGAAGGCAATGCAGCCAATCTCCATGACCAGTGCTCAATCATCTAGATACTACTGGAGGTTGTGAAAACAGGAAACATATCGAAGTCTAGTGTAAAAGATTTATCAATAGTTTTTATTCTAGCGAAGGCTTTTCACACTGCCGAGCAATATCTGGGGAGGGAGTGTTATACCTTGAAAAACTTTCATTGTTGCTGGGCTCATGCTTTTACTGAAGAAAATTATTTTTTCACTTCCTTAGATTATAAGTCTGTGCCGCTTGATGACTGGACAGAGGACCATGTTAAAGCATGGCTGCACTCCATACGTCTAAAGCCGGAATATGTTGATAAGTTATACGCTGAAGAAGTAACTTGACCAGTTCTGAAGGAAATCACTGACAACTTTCTGAAATCTATTGGAATGAAACAAGGGCAGATTCAGTTGTTAATGCAGAAGAGAAACGAGTTATTAAGAGAACAAAAACAAAGTGAAGATAATTCATCCAGGCCACCACCCTTGAATGAGCCCAGCAGAAGCAATCCAGAAGATGCACAGCACTCATGTAAGACTCTTACAAAAGCTGAATCCAAAGAATTTCCTGGTGACATCCAACAAGAAGCAGCAGAAACTTCTGCCGATCAAGAGCTTACACAACCCATGCAACACTTGTCACTGGAGAACCAGACACAGGGCGAAAATTTGTCAAATACAACTAAATCAGACAAGAACAAATGCATACAGCACACCGAACCTGGGACCACAGCTCATTTCAGACCCTTTGATAAACAAGTTGAAGGTTTTAAATACTTCAAAGACCAAGTTCTTCCACCAGAGACAGGAGTTGACGATCTCATTACTCCTTGTCATGAATACAAGTCACTTGTTACTGCAGCAAAGTTGGATCGAGTCAGGCTACAGACAAAATTTGCATCTGAAGTTCTCCGCTTTGCTTGTGCCTGCATGAACATGCGTACAAATGGCACAATACATTTTGGAGTGGTGGACAGCGTAGAAGACAAGGCCTACAGGCATGGCCAAATAACTGGCATCCCCGTAAATGACCAAGACTGGTACGTCGATGCCTTGGATTGTATTGAGAAGTGTTTTACTAAAGTAACAAGTGATGTAGCAAGGAATTGCATTCGTTCCCCAAAATTTATTGAGGTTGTCGACAGAGGTTCAAAAGAACAAAAATTTGTAGTGGAAGTTGACATTGTGCCTGCAGCACAGAAGGTAAAAGATAAAGTGTTTGAGGTGACTCTGCCAAAGTTTAATGACAAATCCAATAAAGTTATTCATGATAAGAAAGCAATATACCAAAGAATTGGTGCCAAGTGTGTACCCGTAGCAGATGAAGACAAGGTCGTGTTTATTCAAGGACTCCGAAATGTTGATGATATGAGAGGGAGCGCAGAAATGAACGTTAGCTGTGATACATCAGTGACAGAAGATTTAGGGAGAAAAATATCCATGCTGGTGACTGATGGGAAAAAATACATAAATGACTCTCTTCGGTACATACTGGTCACCAATGAATGCGGGGAGAACCAAATCCCTCACACCGCATTCCTAACACGCCTGAACATTTTGTGTGTTTTTGACTTTGACCCAAATTCTGACGTGAAAGGATTATGCGCCAAATATAAAGAACATCACGCGGTAAACATACATTCCCTAAAAAGCTATTCCAATGAAGATGGGATGAGCACAAGCGACCTCAAGAAAAATCTCTCCCTCTTTAATCAAACCAGCTGGATATTTTGTAATGGAAGAAGCAACTACAGAGGGGGAGATGAAGCCTGCGATGAAAACACGTGGATTAAATCAAAGAGGAAGCTTTTAAAAAAGGCGGTTTCTTTTTTGTGTGATGAAATTCTTCCAAAGGGATACTTTATTGTTGTCTTCTTGTTGTTTTCCCCTGTGGAAAAACCCATCGTCAATACATTTCATGAATTCTACACAGAATTAAATGGTATGGAGTACATACTATGCATTTCTGAAAGCAAAGACAATTATAAGACGTGGGCCAGCCAGGCCCAAGCCTCCTGTCAAATGGAGATCCTAGAACAGAGAAGCGTTGTGGGCATGCAGCTAAGTCATGTTGATGCAACAGTCCAAAGACTTCTACCTTCATCATCCTCTCCTAGACAATTAAGTGTTTCTACAAAGGGAGTGTGTACCCTCAACAGACCAGATGAAGAGAAAATGCATTCACTAGAAGTGCTATGTGAAAATGAATGTGACAGTACAGGGCTGCAGGACCTGGCCAAGGAGAAAATTGAGGAAATCGAGACTACTTTCTACAGAGGAGGAAAAGTCAGCTGGAAACACTTTTGGCTTGCAGAAAAAAATCTTTGTGAGAATCTTATTGAAAGAGAAGCTTATAAGGAAGTTGAAACAATATTAAATAATATTGAGAATCGTGTAAGACTTCCTGTTGCCAGAATAAAGATTGTTCACCAACCAGGCAGTGGTGGCAGCACAGTTGCAAGACAAATTCTGTGGAAAAAAAAAAAGAGAATTACGATGTGCTGTAGTGAAATCATCCTTTCCAGTAATGACAGTATCTGAACATGCTGAAAACCTAAGACTATATGATGAAAAAGACATGAACCAATGTCTGCCCGTCCTCCTCCTCATTGAAGACTGCCATGATGAGTATATTGATGATCTGAGGGATGAGTTAATAAAAACAATGGTGTCCAGGAAAATTGCCTCTCATAAACCATGCTTTATTCTACTGAGCTGTAAAAGAGCCAATGTCCCTGAAAATCTCTCAAGGTTTTCAATTCCTGAGACGGTCACCATCACCCACACGCTCAGCACAGAAGAAAAGATAAAATTCACAGGGAAAGTTGAGAAGCTTAAGAAACAATTCTCACCAGAATCCATAATCATATTTATTTTAATGAGCCAAGAATTTGTGGCAGAATATGTGACAAAATTTGTGCACAATGTCATGCTTAACGTTGACCACTCCTCTAACGTGACACGATTAATGCGTTATGTAGCACTTTTAAATTGCTACATTCAAAATTCCTACATATCCATATCACACTGTGAGGCTTTCCTGGGCCTTGAGCCGCATACAACAGAGTCCAGCCCCCTGAGACAATACAACTTCAACAATTGCTTAAATGAACAAGCCGAACTAATATTCATTGAACGGGTGGATCCCATCACTTCCATTAAATGCATTCATATCATTCATCCTCGGGTTGCACAGGAGGTCTTAAAACAGCTCCCTGAATATTCACAAAGTCAAATCGCCATGGATCTCCTTCAGGAAAATGTCCTGTTCCAGCACAGATTTGGCAGAGATGAATTCCTTGGTTTTGTCAGGGACTTGCTTTTCCGGCGGCGTAAAATAAGTAGGGGTGATGGTGTGGACTCGTATCTGTCCCCTCTTATTGAACATGTTTGTGATGTAGAAAAAAACCAAGAAAAGGCAGTTAAACTTCTTGAAGCAGCCTACGAACGATTCAACAAAGATCCCTTCTTAGCACAGCAGCTTGCTAGGTTACATTACAAGTATGAGAAGTTTGAAGATGCTAAACGTTGGGCTGAAACCGCTAAATCCCAGCTACCTAAAGATTCCTTTATTTTGGACACAGAAGGTCAAGTGTACAAAAGGTGGTTTAATGCTTTATTAGACAAGAGGAATAACGCCGTACCCCTAGATGAAGTGCCAGACCTCCTAGAATATGCAATGAAAGCTCTGCAATCTTTCCGTGCGGCACAAAAAGCTGCCAAAGCAGAAATGGACACCATGAACAATGCTGGATATTTTGGAGAAGTTGATGTTGGATGTCGGTTGCTGCAGCTGTTATCGACACTCGAAATTTTTCCTCAAAACAAAAATGGTGAGAGCCGTGAACTTTTACAGTATCTCTTGACACAATATATTCCAGAGACCATCAAGAAACCATGGTCCAAATTTCATAGCCATTTAAAAGGCCTGCACAGAAACCTGTACAATGCTCTAGACTGGCTATCGGAAGAACTGAACTACTTTCAGACTGATAAAATTGATGAAGGGGAAAAGAACAGTGAAGTGGAAGAAAGGGTATACACCCCTCGAAAATGGCTGATGAGAAAAATAGAAGTATTTGCCAAGTTTTTTAGCCACCACCTGTCACCTTCTGGTACCGAAACGGAGGATCCAATCAACCAAATAATTCAAAAGATGCACATTTACAAATTGGGAGGTGGGAGCACAACAACAATTCTGTCCTTACTATCCGATAACAAAGATGACAGATCGAGAAATAAACTTTCAGCAATCGTAGATCTGTACAAGAAATGCATAGAAAATGAAATACTTGATGACGTTGACTTGATCAACTACATCATGAGTCACATAGCTTTGGGATGTGTGCATCCAGGTTCTCCCAAACTTCTCACTTTTCAGGAGTTAAGGGAACTGAGCAAGAAATATCAAACCCAGAGAAAGTCTTTTCCTCCAAGTGCCTATTTACTGTTGTTGCTGCTCTACTGGCCTGATGAAGTAACTGATCGGGAAGCAGATGCTAAAAAGGATAACATCCTAAGCTGCGCTCTTCAGAGTGCTCGGAGACTACACGACATCAGGATAAAAAACATCCCGGTTCGGAAGAAGAGAAGCAATGTACTATTTTTCTTGGGGCAAGGCTACGGCCTTCAGAAGTTCCTGCACCGTAGCACTGTAGAAAAACACATGGAAGGGCCAGTAAATGAATGGAGATTGAAGTGTTATGATGGAGATATGGGAAAATTAGAGAGAGTGCAGAGACTGCTCAAAACTGTGCCGGGTTTTGCTGAAAACGGGAGGATTTACGCAGAGGGACACTGCAAAAAACAAAGATTTGACATTATTCCCTTAAACCCCTCTTCAGTGCCTTATGGGAATGAGAACGTCACTTTCTACCTTGGATTTACATATGCAGGGCTTGTCGCATACAATATAAAAGTGCAGTAGCACCGCTCGAGTGTAAACCTCCATCACTTTCCTGTATGACTGACATCTTCTATGCAGTACTTTTGCTCAATAAATGTTTATTCATTTTCATACATTCTGGTGTTTTAATTCCATGTTCATGTGGTACCATTAAATTAAACTGGTGACCACAGATAGATGGAGGCTGCCATAGTGGACATTCTATACTGACCCGCTGGCTTCAGTACTTCCTAAGTCACCTTACCAGTAAGTGGGGAAATCTGAAGCATATTAAGTCAGACATCCATATCTGCATACTTGTTCCAGAGGCAGATACTCAAAATGGTCAACTTAACAGCCCGGTAACAAGCACTTTCACAAGGAGAGGTTTGCACCAGCGGCCTCCATTTTTGAAGGCAGACAAGTCACTGATCCTTGATGGAACCATTGAGAAGGGGGCAGTGATTTTTCTATAACCCGTAATAATTCTTCATGTTCTGCCTGTAAGAAACATCCTGTTATTACCACAAGTATTGACACATGTGCCTGTGTGTTGTAGCAGGGGTGCAAATAAGGGTTTAAACGTTTAAAATGTTTGTCATTTAAACAAATTAGCTATTTAGTTGTTCAGTAGCTTCTCAGTGACAATGATCTCCTGTACAAATACAGAAAGAACCTCTCCAATAGAAAACCAAGCAAAAACCTGAGAGAGGGTCTGACTGAACCCCACTCCATGCAAAATAAAAAGAATGCTTTTGCCTAGAGATACACTACGGGCCATGTCAAACGGACAATTTTGTAGCAGATTATCGAGCAGTGATTGACAGCAATTTGTAACTAATGATCCAATCAGAGTTGCTTGTGAGATTTGCAACTGCTACAAGCTAAACTAGTTACACCTTTTTTTTTGGGGGGGGGGGCGCCTCTGCCCGCTGTGATCTGTGAAGATCCTACCTTCTAACAAAGGAGATGCAATATTGGGCAGAAAATCTGCAGTGTCCCTTTGTACAGAGAGTGAGGTGTGTATTCTAGCTATATCCTACGTGCTAAATGTAAGTGCAATTCTTATATGTGAACAGAGGTCTAATCTGGTGCGCTGTGGTGTTGTGGCTTCATCTGCTCCCTCTTCACTTTCTGTGCAAAGTTCAGTTTCTCTAAAGATTAGACATTTATTCACACAGATAAGAGCTGCAGTTACATATAGGACATGGATAGAGTATGGATTGTTTGCAAAGAGGGAGCCTTGAGAAAGTGGGAGAGGCTCTGGGATGGGCTGGAGAATGGAAGAAAATCAAGCCAATAAAGTTTATCTACAGCGCAGGAGAGGAGACACACAACAGACGATGCCACATTGAGAGTGCAATGCAGAGAATCATGGGAGAGAATTGTCCTCTTCAAGTTGCTGATCGTGAGGGAAATATGGGGGCTGGTATTCTGAAAATGTGACCTGTCCTGCTTCCATACCCCCGAGTCACAGATCTGATCAAGCATGCAGTAAACATCTTCTTGTTTCAGGGTTTTCAGATCTTGTTTGCCAAGTTTCATCCCTTAGAGCTGTAAAACGAGGTGGAGTCTTACCAGAGGCGGCTTCATGCACCTAATTTGTATCCATTTTTGGACAGTGCTACTGCGTATAACACTTCTTTTAGGCTATTTCATAAATGAAAGACCTCATGTAGACTTGTACCTGTACCGTGGGTCAGTCTTCATATTGGAAGGAACCATTTTTTATGGAATGCTAATGTGCATCAAAACCCTTTGCACTCATCCAATTACTGCAAAGACATCTGAGAACCCCATTTTTAATCACCCCTATTATAAAATGGAGACAATCCAGACTCATAAAACATTTGAGAAATATTCTTTATTGAGAAAAATAGTATAAATAATTTGTTTTGCTGACCAGTCAATCCATGCAAATGGTTAAACACTAAAAATGTACATTCCACACCCAGAATACAGATTCATCATAGTAATTTATCTAAACCACTTACATCAATAGCAGCCAGATATTTGCGCTTGCCCTTCTTCAGTCTGGTTGGTAGAATACCAGATATTGTGCTTACCATAACAAGGCCGGAATACACTTGTGTCTTCTAAGCCAAGCACTCCAAGGAAATGTAAGGTCCAATCTAAGGCAATCCACTGATTCCTCCATCTGGGGTCCATTCTGAGCAATTACAGATTCACATTACAAAGTGACGCAAAGTAAAAAGAGAAAAACAACACAGATCAGAGTTTGTGCAGTTAGATTTGTAGTCTATATTGTATGGCTGCTGCCCCTCACCAAAAGCTGAAAACTGCTCACTGACTGGACTGACAATTCCCATCAGAGTCTGCTGAATGTTACATGCCATATTGAAGAGCTTATAGAATTATTATAGAATTAAGCTAAGAATGTGAAATGCATTGGGTGATGTGCACCACATCTCCTACAGGAACGTTAGATAAATGCACATATAAATGAGCCTAGTCCCATGGTTTAAAATTGAAGTTGTCTGGGGGACCAGACCAGGGCCAAAGCAATTGAAATGCACTGGTGCCAAAATTAATCGACTCACCCAGAAAAGGAATCCCACCCCTTGCAAAACGGGATTTATGGGCCTACCATAACATTGTTCTTGGAGCCTATTGAAGGACACAGGAATTTAGACACAGCAGGTGTTATGCCACCTACAGGAGGATCGGACACTGACAAACAGAAATCATAAGCCAGCCTACATATAACCCTCTACCCAGCATTCCCCAGTTTTGTAGTAAAGCAGTAGGCAGTTGTAGTACTAAGGTCATGAACAAGATCAGAGTAGTGGGACCTGTGCCCCTCGATGGACTGAAAGGAAAGGATTTCTCATGGTAAGTGCGAAAATTATATCTATATATAGTCAGGACATCCAAAAAGTACAACAGCAAAAATACTACAGGCCTCACAAAGACTGAAGCCTACCCGCAAGCCCAGGAACTACCCAATAGGTCCCCCTACCAGATGTGGGAAACAAGGTGAGAGCATGAAGTATCAAACTAATTCTCCACACCAGGATGTAGAAGGTCACTGCTACAAGGGAATGACTCCACACAGAAGTAACACTGAAGCGGAGCCAGCGAGAAACTGATAAACCAGAACCCAACAAAAACAGGCAAGACCCATAACAAAATCACCCCCAAAGTCAGGCAGGGTGCCCAAATTGAGCACAGCTCCAGAACCCCAAAATATAAGGGTTTGGGGCAAGGGGACCCCAGGTGGGAAAGATGCGGGGTTCTGAGCAGAAGCGCAGGGTCAGCAGCAGGGTGATGTCTTTCAGACTGACTAGCAGGAATGTGCCCAAAGTGTGCGGACAACCCTTCACCTAGCAAGTAACATCGGCACTCACTCCTTCAGCAATAAAGCTAAACACTGAATATATTTCTCAACTCCAATGTGTGCGCCAAATGACTTTGCAAAACCAATTACATACAGGCACAGGGTTACTCCCCTAGCTTGGGTGCTTGTAGCCTAGAACGTCCACCTGTCAAAATGTCAGTGCCTGGGTGGCTAAAGTGGGAATGTTAAATTACGCCCAGCATAGCACCTAAACCCTTGTCTTGCCACAGTATGCTGATGGGGAAGTGAAACTAATTACCAACTCCCCTCAACGGGCTTGCCAAGGACACCTCTCCATCTAGACAGGCTTGCATGCCCGTGGGGATCAGGAAGAAAACAGGAATTAAGTAATTAAGATTCCAGAGGTGACCTTGTGAAATACCAGGTCAGAGACAACCTAGTCCTCTATGAAAAACAAGCAGGAAGCAAAACGCCAGTCTGTAGCCCTGGGAAACCACCTACTGCCCCCACGTGGTCCAAATGAGGAATACTTGACTGTGGATTTGGTAGACTGAGTGCTTGACCAGGAGTGTGGACTGGGAGCTGAGATTGGAGGGTCTTGAAAAGGAAGCGTAGAAACAAAAGCATTTAAAGAGGGAGGACAATCTTTTCCTTGAGTTTCTTTTGCTGAGGAAGATGGGTGCAGTCAGTAACTTTCTAGATAAATAGTACCTAGAAACAATCTAAAGAGATTGTCCCTGGAAGACTATGTGCAGCAAATGCATCCGATACAAGACGACTGCACTCCAGCACCATAACCTGGGTGTCCAGGACGCATGAGTACCAACAGCAGAATCCTGCAATCACAAAACCAGGAAGTTTTAAACACATTGACAAATTAAAGCAAGCTGGCTCATTTGTGTGTGTAATCCTCCCACAGGCAGCAGTATAAGTACATGTCAAGTCTACAGTGTAGTGTTCAATGATGGAGCATGCGTCTTATTGTGTGTCAGAGCACTGGGACAGCAGAAGTTGTACAGCTGGTATTTAACTCCTTTTGCAGCTCACATTTGCATATCTGTTATCAGTGCAACATAGAGCAATTAAATAGAATATAAAAATAATACTTAAAAGGTGAGAGAGTCTGTGTACTGTATAATATGGGAATTGTCAGTCACTTTTATAGACACTTCCAGCATGGAGTCTGCTCTCCATCTTGTATTGTTCTTCAGCAGTCTAAGGGTTCACCTGCCTCTTCTGGTCTCATGAGAGGGAGAGCTCAGCACTTTATTATGCACAGCCACTGTTTCTACTCAGGACAGATGCTTAAATGTTTAAACAATCTTATGTTTTCTGGCGACAGATCACATACTTCTAACAAGTCAAAGCAGTTATATAAAGCTCAAATGATTACCAAATATTTATGTAAATGTTCATCATACAAGGTCTACTTTAAAGCAGCGTCTCCGTAACAGCAAGAGGTCTGTGGACTAATATTAGTAGATTAAGAAAACCTGAAGCTGCAATAGTTCTACAGGCCCTGGATAAAAACTAGTTGACTAAAAGTGCCCGTGTACGATCTGCCTGTCCAAGATGGGCAGATGGTACAAGCTTTTAATTAGCTTACAACCATCGCAAGACAAAAGTCTTGCAATGGTTGTAAGGTGTATGGGCACCTTAAGACAGGACATTTAGCAGTTGAAGCGATGATAATCTAGTAAACTATAATAACCAAATACGCCCTTCACTAGCAGGTTCAGCAAATCAATACTA